CTCTTAACTTTCAGCAAGCAAGGTTATACCATCTGAATATTGCAGCTTGTGTAAATGAGCCTTCCTTCAATCCTGATGCCATGTTTTTTTTTCATATAAGACAGCTTCTCTGATTATTTGCTCAGCATACAGGTTGGATAAGTATGTTGAAAGAATACAAACCTGTTGCACACCTTTCTTAATTTGAAACCATTCAGTGTTCCCATGTTCTGTTCAAACAATTGCCTCTTGATCCATGTACAGATTCTTCATGAGCACAATTAAGTGTTCCGGAATACTCATACTTCTCAATGTTGTCCATAGCTTGTCATGATCCACACAATCGAAAGCCTTTGCGTAGTTAAAAAAGCACAGGTAAACATCTTTCTGATATTCTCTGCTTTTAGCCAAGATCCATTGGACATCAGCAATGATATCCCTCATTCCACGGCCTCGTCTGAATCTGGCTGGGCACATACCAATATGGGATTATAACCCTAGGCATGGGGGTTAGGATTGCAACACATATTTTGGAGAGAAACAATTCAATCCATAATACATTTTGCATAATTTTTGCCACCCAAACAAGCCATAGTTATTAAATACTGGCCTGCTGGAAAAATTGTAGATAAACATGGAATTTAATTGCATATAGCTTGCTGATCACCATTCATGCTTGGGGAGCTGGGACCATCATTCTGATACTCGCCCAGTTCTGTCATTGATTTTCCAATGTGAAGCCTTTTGTGGACATGTAGTGTGATCTAGAGAAGTGCTGTCCATCAGCAATATAACATGAGCCACAGAGCCACTTTAAAATATTCTAATACCCACATTTAAAAAAAAAAATTAAAAGAAATAGGTGAAATTAATTTTTCAATATATCTTACGAGTGGATAAGAGAATTTTTGCTTAGGGGACACTGAGTTTATGCTAACAACGACAGAATTGTTGCACAACTTGAATATGATCAATGTTATTGAATTGTACTTAGAGAATATTTTGAGATGGGATATGTTTTATTATGTATATTTTAACCACAATACAGTTTAAAATAATGAATTAAAAATATTTTATTTTCATTAACTCATTACATCCAAAATGTTAAATAAATGAGACAGTTTACATTTTTTTGTACTGAGTCTTTGAATTGTGATGTGTATTTTACACTACAGCATGCCTTTTTTTGGACTAGCCATATTTCTTTATATGGACTAGCCATATATGTATATATATAACTTTTAGTTGTGATTTGGTGAAAGCTTGCAAAGCAAGCCAGTTTCCCATTCAACAATTCATACACATTTTGTTTCATGCCATTGATTGCAATTCTCACAATGTAACAGAACATATCCCACTTTCTTCCTGTGGTTCCCATTTCCATTCATCCTTCTTTCCTATCCCTTTCTGCCTTCTGAACATTGGACAAATGCTGCCTTTTTGATCTTGAATTATTGTTCTAGAAAGTGTGCACTTCCCAGGTGTTATTGTTCATATAGAAATGTCTTTTGTTTGGTGGAAAGTTGAGCACTGGGGGTGAGTTCAGTTCAGGTCTGAAGAGTGTCTAAGGGACAGTCTTTATCAGACTCGTGAGCCCAGTCTTTTTTATTACTTTGAGTTTTGTTTCACTTTTTTTATATTATGTTTTTATTGTGAATTGAGTGAGTTTACATGGGAGAGCATCAGCTTTACATTCATCCTATCATATTTCGTTTCATTGCAATGATTTCAATCCTTCCATGCATCATCATTCAACAGCATTTGCTTCCAATCCCTCAGTGTTTTTTTGTTTGTTTGTTTGTTTTTTGGATGCACACCGAAGCACTCAGGAATATGTAACCATTTAAGCAATCAAAGGGTATACTCTAAATGTCACACCCCCGGCCACCAGCACACAGCCCCTCTCCCTCCTTGAGTCCAGAGTCCCCAGCCACTCTGTCTCGCCACATCATCATCTCTGCCTCCATCTCTGGCATTGCTGCTTCTTTGGATAGGGTCCCACACTCCACTCTTATCCCTTGATGGTTCGAGGGTCCTCTGCTCCTGGACTACAAGATCAACCACTCCCTTCCTTTTGTTACAAAATGGCTACCTTTACATTTGCAACATTTACATTTTTGTCCTACTCTATTAAGGACCTTCTATTGTGATCCCTTTCAGAGCGGTCAGTAGTGGTAGCAGGACACCATCTACTTCTTCTTGTCTCTGGGTCATGGAGGCTGAGGTTCATGTAGTCCATTTGGACTAACTGTATTTCAAGTGCTCAGTAACTACATACAGTTAGTGGTTGCTGTTTTGGGCAGCACATGTCGAGAGGGAAGTAAGAAGGCATATCTAGAAAGTGTACTAGTGTCTTGAAACTAAATTCTGGTTTGTAATTACATTGTAAGAAACCTCTTGTGTGAAATTTTCTTATTCTCTCCTAACACTCCGTTTTCCCCTGATTTGCACTAAGCCTAAATCTGCCATGTTCATTCTTTTAAAATCAGAGTCTCAGAGGAATTTGAAGGTCTCTATGCCCACCAAACCGTGTTGGTCCTGAATGCCATCCATTGTCATGCACTATTAATTGAGTATGAATATGTGACCATGTTACTTGTCAGAGCAGTGCTCTCTGGTATGGTGGAAGATTTTCCATTTTGAGAGTCTCTTCTTTTCTGTCCATTAAACTTGAGCATCACCCTTTCTCTGCCTTGTCAGTCAGATATACCACTTAGGCTTGTATTCAGAAAACATCTTTACCTTGTTTCTGTCTCTCTTCTCGTTTCCTTATAACTATTACATAGCAGACAAAGGTGGCTGAGAAGAGAAACTCATCATTGACCATAGTAACCATAGTGAGTTCCAAATGTTAAAAGATAGAAGCCTCACCCCAAAGTGGCAGGCTCTGAATGAAGTCCTAGTGCCTGAGGGAGCAGAACTGCAGCCCCCCACCCCACCCCATGCTAGGAATCATGCTGTGTTTATCCCTTGCATTTGGATGAAATGTGAAGGGAATGCTTAGGAGGTGGAATGAATGTTTGCCATTGAATCCTAGGCCATATATTTAGCTAAGGTAACCTCTTTAGCCTGCCTGCAGGAGTGTGCTTGTTCCATAGAAGATCTGCAGTTTTGTGATCCTCCTCTGATAGGGTGGTCGGAACCTGCCCAGTGGCTATACAGAGGACTTGGAGATCTCCTTCCACGAAGATTTCAGTCTAGGAAACCCTTTGGGGAAGGTTTGCTCTGTCATTTGGTGTCTGTCTGACCCAACAGCACACACCAATAACACCCGCAATCTGGGATGAAAGTGGAATATGAATGGCTTCAAAATGGGACTATTTTCAGTCTTGTGATAGAGTAAGTCCTCAAACACACAAGGACATATATCTATATTCCCCACATACACATTTCTGAGTAGAAACACTACAGATTCCTCAAAATACAAAATTATTTTAGTTCCATAGAGAAGACCAATAGTTATGTGTAGATGTGGAAAGAGATAGGGGGTGGGGAAGAATGGGTTGCATCTTCCCGCTGATGATATTCCTTGTAAAATCTGAGGACAGTTCCCAGAGTGAAGCTCACCTAAGGAGTAAAGAAGTTATTGAACTCATGGACTGTCAGAATAAGAAATAATGTTTCTTGGGAGATGTAAACAGAATGCTCCTTAGAAGTGAGGATGGTTAAGACTTCATATCACATACTTTGGACATATTACCAGAAGAGAACAGTCTCTGGAGAAGGACATTATTCTTATTAAAATGGAGGGTCAGCAAAAAAGAAGACCCTCAAGATTATCTTTGTTGTTTATACCTGTAAAGCTGTAGGAGCTCTCACTTAGGGTGAAAAAAATGCTGTGTTTTTAATGAAACAGGCTAACAGAATAGTGAGCAGAGAGTTATTAGGCAGTAGAGACAGGTGATAGAAATTCATAGTTTCAAGTATAGGAGCTAATACCTACAATTTGAACCATCAACAGCCATTTCTGTGAGGGCTTTTTAATCATGATTAAGATCAGACTGTTGATCCCTCATGATCCAACAATGCAAAACACACAAAAATAGTTCCTCCCTATGAGACTTTCCTATTTCATTAAATGGTAACAGTATCTATTTGCATAAAAAGAAAAATCTAGGTGTAATTTTTCTCTTTTCCTCTCTCCATCAATGATATATCCAAAACATATCTCATGTCCGTCTTTTTTTCTCTACTGCCCGTTCCCTGTGAGCCTTCGTCAGTTCTCACCTAAATGACAGGATGACCTCTTCACTGATCTCCCTGCACAAGTGCTCCCCACTGTATATTTCATCCTCTACCTACCACTCAGGGTAAAGTCAGAACACACGGCACCCTGGCTTAGAAATCCTCCTTGGCCTCGATGGACACTCTAGGGAAGTCTGACCTTATCTCACTCTGGCATCCTCTCTCCGGCCTTATCTTGCAGTGCTCCTATTGGCTGGCCATGCTTCACAACAGCGTTCTCGCTTCTTGAATGTGCCTGTGTTAAATATTATCTTAGGACCTTGGCACTAGCTCTTATAGTGGACACCACAAATTTTTATCTCCAGTCTCTAGGAATCATTTCCTTCCTGGAAAAACTTTCTATCCTACCTCCCTTCTTTCTCTCATTCAGACTTGAGCTCATGCATCCACTTCTTGGCGTCTCTTTTGCTGGCCTCTAGCTATGAAAGAACTATTCAGACATTCACTAGCCGGTAGTCACTCCATTTGCAAAGTACCATTACTTTTTGTTACTTGGCTGGTTTGTTTATTTTTGGTTGGCTTGCCTATCTCTCTTAAAAGGTAAGTTTCTTGAGAACAGAGACCTCATCTGTCTTGTTCCTGTATTCCCAGTACCCAGAACACAGAAAATACAGGGGAATCAATGACTGAACCTGATATACTCAATGGAGCATTCAAACGTGCAGTGGTGACTTCTAATAGTGGAAGTCATCAATAGTGCATGTAGTGTTGGGACTTCCATCCTATTTCCACCATGTCCTCTGACATCTGATTAATGGTCTTCCTTTCCCTTACAGCCGCCCATGCCAACTTCCTTTCCCATCAACAGTGCAGCAGCACAGCCCGATGTCCTCCCAGACCTCCTCCATCAGTGGGCCACTGCATTCTGTCTCCTTACCACTTCCCCTTCCAATGACTCTGGCAGCCCCCCAGCCACCGCCTGCCACATCCCCCAGCCAGCAGCTTGGCCCAGATGCATTTGCGATTGTGGAACGAGCCCAGCAAATGGTGGAGATACTAACAGAGGAGAACCGGGTGCTTCACCAAGAACTTCAGGGTTACTATGACAATGCTGACAAGCTCCACAAGGTATGAACTTCATGGGGAAGGTGGGGAAGAGGTTCTTTGGAAGGAACAGACTATCTACCTGCTCATAAGGGGTTGTTTCACTGACTCACTCATCAACACTTATGCCAGGCAGTGTCCAAGGCAAAAACAAACACAACACAGTGCCTGTCTGGGAGGAGCTTACTGTGTAGAAGCCAGGAGAGATGCGTAAGCCAATACCTGGAGTAGGAATGTGGAGGGGTTGCAGTAGATGCAGTGGGCTTTGATCTGAGGCTCAAGGGCTAAGTAGGATTAGCCCAGCTAGATAGTGTGGTGAGGGCCCTTGCAGAACACTAGGAATAACACAGAGGGAGGTTGAGGGAAATGGGTTTTTCCTTTATATCTGGGAACCTTAGACAACAACCTTGTGGTTGCCATGTTTATTTCATTAGCTGACCTACCTCTGCAAAAAGCAGCATTGCCTCCACAGTAGAGGGTCAGAATATTGTGTTATTGCATATTTTTCTTATGCTTGTGATGTGTTAGATGCAGACATGTGGACTAATTCCAGCCTGTGTAGTCATTATGGGAACATTAAGATGTATGGCGGCTTCCATTCTTAGGGCTTCATGTTAAAAGTCAAAGTAAGCACAGCAAGAGTCAGCAGTCACTGCAGTGATGTCATCAGCCTCTGATACACTGCAGGTAGAAAGGGGAGACAATGGTCAGGATGTTACAGAGCAGGAGAGTCACAGGACCTTTCTAGAGGTAAGGAGATATGTGTGACTGTCAGTGCTTTTACAAGGGACTGTTTAAGTGTCTGACTCTGTCCTGGACAATGCAGGGTCTTTGTAAAGAGAAAGGACTTCACATAGGACAGTGAATGTGCCTGGCTGGCCCACACTAATTGGCGTTGATGTCGTAGATAAAGATGTCAGGTCTTTTGAGGGTTTTAGAGTAGGCTCCTCTTCTCTCCTGAAGTCTGGCAGCAGAAAGTTAGGAGCAGGGGGTGTGATGGTGTAGATGCTCGCAGATGGACTCTGTCCCAGCATGTGTTTTCACTGCAAGTGTCTGGAGCTCCCTGGAGTGTCAAGCTCAGACTTGGCTCCAAGAGCTCCGGCTGCCTTTATTAGAGGCATCAAAAATGTAAGCCAGAAACAAACAGAGACTCGCTGAAGATTGCAGTCTCATATCCATTTTCACCTTTAGACATTGGGAAGCAGTGTGTTGTCTCCAGCTGGGCCTGTAAGCCTGTGCTCAGGCCCAAGCTTGCCCCTGACACCTCCCTGCGGCTTCTTCTTCCTGGGCATGGTCTGAAAATTAAGGAGGGCCATCTCAGCACTTCCTGGGAAACAAATATTTTACTCTCCCACAATGAAATTCTACAGATCCATTGGAGGGCAGAGTTTGGTCCTGGGTCTTTTCATGGGCATGTCTGAACAGTTATTCATGATTCACTTTTTTTGTTAATGTCTAGTTTTAATTGACATGTAGCATGCATATCTGGACTCCTGGTGTGGTGCTGTAGGATGAGCACTGGACTTTAAACCCAAGGTCAGCAGTTCAGACCCACCAGCTGTACCTTGAAAGCCCTATGCAGGGTCGCTATGAGTCGAAACTCACTCAATGGCACTTCACCACCACCACCAACACACCTATCTTGCTTGATTTTGATGCACATTCTAGTTCGCAAAACAAAGCTACTTAATATCTCCTGTTGTTGTTGTTTAGTGCCATCGAGTGGGTTCCGACTCATAGCGACCCTTTGTAGGGTTTCCTTGCGGTCCAGTGTTTAATCCATAGCGCCACACCAGGACTTCTCACATCTCCTCAGGGCTCCACTTCCCTGAATAAGGGATAATTCTTAAATTTGTGGCCAAAAAGATTTTGATAACTACTGTAAAAAGAAACCTTCTGGAATCCTAAACGCCTTCAAATCTTTGACAATTATAAATTGTTTTGTAAATGCTACATTTCACTGAGCTGTCATATGTCAAGCTGGAATTATCAATTTAAAAAATTCTGACTTTGACAGATACTTGCCTTATCTTTCGCTAGTTCTTTAGCTGTTTTCAACCACTAGGACCAAGACATGGAAGAGGAATTGCGTGAAATCTTTGGCTTCAGTTTGTGGCTTGTGTTCCCCAGGCCATCTTTTTCATAGATCTTCTCATTCCGTTGGTGTTACTACTCAGTTGCCTTTTAACAGCTGCTGAAGCCATAGGCCTGGGAACAGGGTGGTCAGATGGGTTGACAACTTTGCTTTTCAAAGACCAAAGCTGCTCATGCCCTGGCATAGAGTTGGCCCCCTACCTTGGGTGGACTCACTCCTCCATTGTGGGATGTGATTATGTTGTGCTGGCAATATCTGATCTGAGATCTTCACAGTATTAGGAGCACTTTGGCTCTTGCAGAGATACATTGTAAGGGCAGAGCCAAAAATAGATGCATTTTTAATTGCAGAGCTTAGCCTGTGCATGCTATGCCAGGAACACAGCAGAACGGAATGAATAATTCAAAGACTGTCAAAGCCCTGCCTAGCTACGAAGACCCTGTTTCCAAAGAGGCAAAGGGTAGTGATTATTCCTGTTAGTGTTGGAATGATGACTGAGCACTCCCAGAAAGAGCTGCTGGACTTCATTAATTCTTTTTCATCACTCATGTTGCTTCTCTTTTCTCCCAGTGTCCTTGAGACACAATTAATGGGCACAGTTCACATCAGGAGCACATGATGGCTGTTGAATGAGTTGGTCTCACAGGCCATCAGGGTACTGATGGGCATCTGAAGGGATAGGACCAAATATGTATAATCATCCAGACTTTGGGCCAAGCCCGTGGCTCGGACAGCAGACCTGCCTTTGGTCCCATGAACCCCTGAGATGTGCACATGAAGATGTTCTTGGGGAAATTCACTATCTAGACCTTGGAATGACTGACCTTTTCTCAGGGCTGTTTACCCATTTGTTTCTGACAACAGTTCCTGTTGCAGTTATGCAGGGCTTTCTCCCTGGCTTGCCCTTCTGTATCTGGGCCATGGAGTGCTTCTCTGTGTGCTGTCGTGGGTGACCATGAGACAGAGTTAACTCAACTACAATTAGTTTATTGATGTATGACCTGAAATGAAGCTTTCTGACACATGGTCTAAGAAAAGGATGGAGTCTGTGAAGGGAAACACAATACTGTCTCCATGCCATGACTTGGAGTCTGAACAGGCCCAGGTGATTGTTGTATCAAAACCAAGCTGTCCAACCTTGTTTTCATCTTGAATGGACTTCTGTGGGTGCTAAATATGTTGAGACATGAGGGATGCAAAGAAGAATGTGTGGTTCTTGCTCTCTTACAGAATGTGCCATCAAGAATTATAGAAAAAAGCAGATGGGAGAACAATTAGGCAGGTTTGCATGGGCTAAGTGGGGCAGAGGTAAATAATGATGTATGCACAACCTTGCAACAACAGGGCTCTGAGATACAGGGATTGAGACATGGTTGGAATGGGGAAAAGAGGGAAAATAATGTTAAGATGCTTGGCTGTCTTTGGAATCTTGGTTTTCCTTGCATTATATTATAAAATAGACAATGGAGGGGGAGACAAAGGACTAGCCAGAAGTATCACCATAGAAAGCTTGTAAGTCCGTCTTCTGCCTATAACTGATTGGGATACCTAAAATGGGGCTACAACATGCCCAGTGAAGGAGGCTTCCTGCAGAGCCTCTGCATTACATAAGACTATAGGTGGAATCCTGAACAACATCCAGAATCTTCACAGGTGGGAAATTTCCACTTGAAAGGATGAGCAGGCCAGCCTGGAGCGGCTAGAAGAACAGAAGATACTTCTTGAAAGAAAGACAGACAAGAAAAATACAAAACAATATAGGCAGACCAACTGATTACTACAAGAACAAGCAAGTTGCTCGCCCGGGAGACATCAAGGCAAGTGGTTGGATCCCCTCAAAGCAAACCCTCTTCCAAGACTAAGACTCAATGGGAATATGTGCTCTGATTGGTGACCACGTTTGTCACCGATAAGGGGAAGTGAGTAAAAAACAGTAATGAAGCTGCAAGCTAAGCCCTACAACATTCAGTAGACTCCTGTGAGCCCAGCTGGAGACCTAGTTGGCCAGCAGTGTGGCAAGACCAGGGGACTCTTGGACCCAGAGTCAGTGACATAGCCACAGAGGACTAGAGTGGAGAGTGAAGCGTCCAGCTGATAAGAAGAGAGGGCATATGCACAAGAACACCCACACTTGGAGACAATACCCATTCAACCTGGCTTCATTGACTGGATGATCAGAGCTCAACTAGAAGAAAAAAGAGGAAATAAAGAGTAATCGGATACAATTTGATGAATTTGACCTACACCTATGGATGCAGGAGCTCAAAAGAGGGAACACATCTTTACAGCAAGGATCGTTCCCACCCCCTCCATACACAGAGTAGTCAGGGATGGGCAACTTGGACATTGGCTACCCAAAATGGGGGGTGCTACAAAGGCAAGAAATGACTAGCTTACAAGCTTTCAAGAGGGAACCTAGATCCAGAGGGTCTGGAGGAAAGTAGAATCTCCACTGAGTAGTATCCAATCTGTCTAGGTGGGGCTGATGAAAGGAAATGCGGATAGGTCTCTTATGATACAATAGTGAATAATTGTTATCGGCACTGATTGTGAGGGTTGGAAATGTAAAGGTAGCATTTTGTAGCAAGGAGGGGAGTGATTAACTTTTCAGTCTAGGAGCAGAAGTCACTGGAACCATCAAGGGGAAAGAGCAGAGAGCCGGACCCTACCCAGAGAAGCAGTGATGCTTGAGATGGAGGCAGAGACGATGACGTGGAGAGATGGAGCAGCTGGGAATTTTAGACACAGAGAGAGAGAGGGACTGTGTGCTGACGACCAGGGGACAGGCTTGTAGGGTATAGCCTTTGGTTGGTTGATGATGGATGCATGGAGGAGATTGTAACCATTGTAATGAAATGATATACAATAGGATGAATGTAAAACTAATGTTCGCCCATGTAAAGTATCATGTAATTCTCAAAAAAAATAAAAACAAAGCAAAACTGACATCTTTGCTCTTCAGCACTTTAAAGAGGTTCTTGTGCTGCAGATTTGCCTAATGCAATACGTTGTTTGATTTCTTGACTGCTACTTCCATGAGTGTTGATGGTTGATTCAAGTAAAATGAAGTCCTTGAAAACTTAAAAAAATAATAATAATAATTATAGAGCACAAGGTATACAATTCATAAAATGGCTCTAATCCAACTCCCCATGCCTAGAAACCATGCTTTATGTCCCTGAAGGGAAGTCATTCAGTTTTTGCTTAGATACTTCCAGAGAAGACAGACTCGTTACCTAATGTGTACTGCTACACTCCTGGATGATTCTTCCTTCTGTTGAATCAAAGTTTGCATCTCTTTATCTTCCTGCATTTAGTCTGTCCCCTGCAGCCACACTGAAGGAGACCAGTCCCCTGTCCACTGTAACAACTGTAAGATCTTCCTTTCTTGGTACCTTCTAAACACATAACACTATCCTGATTCTTGACTGTTTCAACATTTGTAACAATAAATTAAACCACTGTTGGGATCTTGCCGTTTCCATTTATAGTGTGCAGAAGGAAGCTCTTTTAATGAGTCAGGTATAAAACATCAGTGCCCAAATCTTTCTGTAGGAGTTATATATTGAAATTAATTCTATGGTTAATACCATGAGCAGGGTACAGTTCCCAGGCTACAAGGACTATGTCTGTGCTCAATACACATGCATACCAGAATTCCACCCAGGTGAATACAGCAGTTAATAGACTATATAAACAGAAAAAGTCAGATTCCAGAGTGTGGTGCGGATAGGAAGTTATCCTGGGCTGGAAGGATGCACACCACTCCTGGGCACCAGCTTAGGACTGCCTCCGGCTGTATGGTGTTTTCAGCTTCATTAGCAGCTAAGTTATGCTCTTTACTCTTTAAGGAGACTATTCTTGCCTAACCCATCAGTCTGAACCCAAAGGCTACTTTTTCTAGATGAATTTAGCCTGTAAGTGATGGTGTGTCTTGGAGCTCTTTTGAACACACAATTAAGAAGAAATAACATGATTTGCAGTGGAATGGAGAAAAAGGTTCAGGACATATTGTTCTCTCTTCTGTCACATTACCAACAATCCATGATCTCTCTGAAAGAAACAGAAAGGTCTCAGTGAAAAGTGGGGAATGTGGAAGAAGCAACTGTAATTTAATAAGGACTTTGAGAAAATAGCATGGTACCAAATGGAGCCTTGGTTTCACTCTGATGGCTGCAGCTAAGTAGAAGCCTCGGTACTCTTCATGTAGTCTCTTGGCTCCACTCTAGCCTCTGGGGACATTGACCGCATTCACTGTCCTTCTGTAAGGTTTTGGTTTCCTGGCTCCTTAGGACTCCCCCTGGCTTGTACAGTCTCTTTCACTAGTTCTTCTGCCCAACCAATCCCCTCATTACTAATGTGCCTCTTCCTGCTCCACTCTGTTGAGCTCCCTAAGTGGAGTCTCCACTCTGTGACTCCATCAGTCATCGGGAGAGTATTCTCCCGACATTCAAATCTGTATCTCCTGGAAATCTTTGCTTAGATGTTTTGCAGGTTCCTTAGGTACAATATCTCCAAAACTAGACCGATTTTCCTTCTTTGGAAAACTTGTTTTCCTTATCTTTATTATCTTGGTGTTGGGTCTTATTACCTAGCCTTATAAGCGATGAATGTCTAGATTGCCTTTGGTTTCTCTCTCCCTGGTCATCCAGACCCAGTCACCAAAACCTGTTGATTCTACCCCTCAGTTTCTTTTCATTATGCCCCTTTAGTTGTCACTGTGAATTGGAACTGACTCGATGTCACTTAAACAAACAAATCGCTTTTATAGGGATCATTTCCTAGGCAAAGACTTAAAAACAATAATCAAGCAGGTTTTATTGGTGCTGTGGACTGGGTATTGGGGTGCTAACTGCAAGGTTGGTGGTTCAAACTTAACCAGCTGCTCCATGGGAGACAGATGAGACTGTCAGTGCATCAAGATTCACAGTCTAGGAAACCCTAAGGAGCACTTCTACTCCATCCTGTAGAGTTGCGATGAGTTGAAATTCACTTGATGGCAATGGTGTTGACTTGTTGGGTTTGGAGATGGAAAGAACATGTGAAAATCTATTTAGAATCTAGAGTTTGGATTTTAGTTGTCCTTTAGTTTTTGTCAATTTAAATTTTTCCATGTGATAACTGGGACCAATAATAATAATTATAAATTGTCATACAGAATAGAAGAGTTTAAGTTAGGTTTACTTAACTTACCTGCCTGGTCAGATTGTTAGTGTTATTGCTAGAAGTCAGAATCAATTTGATGTCAATGGGTTGCTGGGATGGCAATCTTTAGGGTCATGTTTGCACTCTGCACTGGATGGGTAACTACGAGGTCAGCAGTTCAAATCCACCAGCCACTCTCGGAAACGCTATACAGGGTCATTATAAGTTGGAAGTCCTGGTGTGGCACTATAGGATAAGTACTGGACTGCTAACTGTGAGGTCAGCAGTTCAAACCTATGAGCCACTCCTAAGAAACCCTATTACGGGATTGCTATGAGTCAGAACTGACTCAATGGCACTTAACAACAGCAACTAACCTTAAGGTTGGCAGGGCGGTTCAAACCTACCCCACAGTACCATAGAAGAAAGGTCTGGTGATCTGATTCTGTAAGAAAACCCTGTGGAGGAGTTTTCGGTAATACATGGGCTTACCATGAGTCAAAATCAACTCAACTGCTTATGTGTTTGGTTTATTTCAATTTTCTGATAGCTGTTAGAGAAAATGTTGTTGTTGTTATGTGCCGTGGAGTCGGTTCCGACTCATAGCGACCCTGCATGGGGTTCCAAGGCTGTTAATCTTTACGGGAACAGAACACCTCATCTTTCTCCCGTGGAGCAGCTGGTAGTTTCGAACTGCTAACCTTGCGGTTCACAGCCCGATTCGTAACCACTACGCTACCAGAAATTGATTACATGATCAGAGATGAAATTTGAGATGCAGAAAGGCTACACTGATGCTTAGAAAATCCAAGAATAAGCATCACTAGGGTGTCCAGTGTGAATGTTTAAAAACTGGCTTTAATGCTAAATTCTGTCTTTTAGTTTGAAAAAGAACTTCAGAGAATTTCAGAAGCTTATGAGAGTCTAGTCAAATCTACCACCAAGCGAGAGTCTCTGGACAAGGCAATGAGAAACAAACTGGAAGGCGAGATTAGAAGACTTCATGATTTCAACAGAGATCTCCGAGGTATGTCAAATTTGATTCATGTTCTTGCCCCTCAACCACCCATGTGGCCAACAGCCTGATTTCAGGCCAGATTTCAGGTCTGTGGTAGCCCATTTTGTCAATTGCATTGGGGGAAAGAGTGAGATCCTCAAAGAGCAGAATTCTTGTTTTTTGCCTTGTAGGTGACAGTATTAGGTCTTAGAAGTGACACTTGTATGCAAGAGTGCATGAAAAGGAGACAGCACATGTCCAGCTCGGTCTTGCATTAGATGTACTCAATAGTGACCTGTGACCAGGTGAATGGGAATATTTTAAAAGACCCATGATGAATGACAAGCTTTCTACTACAGGCAAATCATTTGGTAGTAGTCTTTGAAAGTCAATGTTTAACCCTCCCTTGCTAGGTGAATTCTAAGTAACAGAGCTAGGCATATGTTCCTCCTTCAAAAGGAAATTTTTAAAAGCCCAAATTATGAAAAGAGTAGACGTATATATTCTCTGAAAAGATGCTGCTGCAGTATCTTGGCAAACTCCAAAATCAGGATGATTTCGCCTGTTAAATTTCACTTAACTTTAAGAGCGTAATATTTTTTCTAGTCTCCTCCTATTCAAGGAGGCTTCCAAAAGCCCGTGGGAAAATGGAATTTTTCCAGAAACATTTTGAAGCCCCTTCATATCATCGGAACACTGAGTGGACTAGTACCTGCATGTAGCTGGATATAGAGTCTCCCTTATCTGTTATTATAAGCACTTTCAGATGGGCAGTTGATTGTTTTATTTGTTTTCGGTCCTGAGACTATAGATAGCAATCAGTGGCTAAAACTGATGGTCGAGGTTACACTACAGGGCTGGGTCTGAGGCCAGGACCTCAAATCAGAGTTTTGCTGATCTTGCAAGCAGTAAAGTAGTTTTTCCCAGAACAGATCCTTGGCTGCCTACTGCTGGTGACTGCCCTTTGGCATGAGACTACGTAAAGATGCCCATGTGACTTCTAAAAACTTTCAATATTTTGAAGTGTGGGCATTGTTGCTTCCCCCTAGTTGTTCAGTTTTTGACTCCTGCCTAAGCATGTCTGAGCATCTCTTCCTATCTATTTCATTTCTCAGTTAGATGATGATCTAAATCCGTATGTATTTATCTTGAACCATTTCTTATGTATAGATCGACTGGAGACCGCCAACCGGCAGCTGTCCAGCAGGGTGTACGATGGGCATGAAGACAAAGCCACAGAAGGGCATTATGCTTCCCAGAGTGAGTCTCCACTATTATTTATCCTAAAGTGGGAATTTTTGACAGCTGGGGGTTTCAGAGAAAAAGAAATACCATCCGTTTCAAGGTGGGTTTTGTACTCTTTGGCGTTTGTTTGTTCATTTAGCTTTCAAGCCTGATTTCAGGTTTGGTCTACCAGAAAGAAAGCTAAGGTAGCTATATACGTTATTTCAGAAATGTTTATTCCATCCTTCTGACCTGTAGATTCTCTCTGTCTATAATGCCCTCTGAAGAACAGCAATGGTCCATAGTTGCTGGCACTCACCACTTTAAATAAGTCTTCATCATTTTTCTGCAGTGGAAAGGGAAGAGGCCTAGTGGCAGGGTTTGGATCTCTTGGCGTGTTTTGTGTTTGTGTCAGTTAAGCTTTCTCTAAACTATGTCCCTTACTTTCATGTACAGCATCTAACAACCATACTGAAGGAAGGATGTGGCAGTCTGCTTCTATAAAGACTGTTGTTGTTAAGTGCTGTCAAGTCGGTTCCAACTCGTAGCAGCCCTATATAGGGTTTCTGAGGAGGAGTTGGTGAGCTTGAACCGCCAACCTTATGGTTCAAACTGACCTTGTGGTCCAGTGTGTTATCATCCCACAGTGCCGCACCAGAACTCCTCCCTTGGAAACCTTTGGGCAGTTCTACTTTGTCCTACAGTGTCACTGAGTCAAACTGATCACTAGGACAATGGATTACTTGTGTCTTTAGGGTTTATGTCATGTGTATAAAGGCCTTTTGCACCCCAAGATTATAAAATTATTCATCTATATTTTTTTCACGTATGTTATGATTTTGTTGTTAACAAGGCTTAGTTAGATATTAGGAACTAGCTCGAGGCAGAGTAGAAGAGGAATTTATGAGAGACTAACATGGAGGCAAGGAGCAAGTTGGCCAATATTTCAATTTATAGACAAAGGAGGTAGTGTCCCTGAACTAAAGCATAGAAGTAGCGATGGAGAGTAGGAAATGATAAGCTAGACACAGAGCAGTGGGACTTAGTGACCACTGAACAATAGCAGTGTGAGAAGGAGAAAGGAGTGTGACCAGGATAACCAGACAGGTGGTCGCCATTCAGTAGTAAACAGCAGGAAGGGCAGGTTTGGGGTTTAACCATCTCAGCCTGTGACCCATAGCTAAGTGAGAAAGTAGAACAGTAGGTGCAGAGATACCGGTATCCCCACTATCCGACAGTGGAACCTTCCTAGGAAATCTTTTGTAAGCTGAAATGGTGTAAAGCAATGAAGCAATTGCTGTTTATTTAGTTGTTGTTGTTGTTTAAGTGCCGTCGAGTCGATTCTGACCCACAGCGACCCTGTATAGGGTTGCCAAAGAGCAACTGGTGAGCTTGACCCACCAACCTTGCAGTTCAAATGACTTTGCAATCTGACACATTAGCCCACAGCACCACTCATATATAGGGAACATTTATTTTAGTGTTCCCAGACCCAATAAATAAATGACCAAAAACACATAAAACCAAAGCCACACTAACATACTCCCCTAGTGTTCACAGACACAGTTGAAAGCTGTGGTAGCGGATGCTGAAATGGTGCACGTTGTTCCCTGGAGAGGAGCTTGTCAGCGCCACTCTTGCTGCTCTGGATGCACGTTGCCTCTTTAAAGGCTCACTGTAAAATAAATGCTGAACACTAGTTTCGCTTTTCACCCTTTTTATAAAAGCATAGATCCTCTTCTGATTTCTTTGGGTTAGTGAAAACAGGTACCAATGTAAGTCTTTCGTCCAAACGAAGTGGCGTAAAGCAAACTTTGGGGAGTGGGGGATGCCTATACTCAGAAGGCTAGTGATGGGTGGTGGTCTCTGTCAGCCTTTCTTTTCAGCACGTGGCTAGAGAATGGCAGGTGTGAATTACTCCTCTCCTCATAGTTATTAATGTGTTCCATTAACTGTGTGTTGTTTTAGAAACACCATTATTAGAACAAATTTCAAATCCCTAGTAATCAAAGTGATGAATATTGCCCACTTAAGAGGAGGCTATCCTTTTCAAATGAATCTTTTGGGACTCTAGCATTTGGCTAAGAAAAAGGCAACACTGCATAGGAAATACTCTTAAATAAATAGTGCTTTCTTTGGAAAATGCACACCAAGGAGCTAAAGCTAAGTTATAAAGCCCCTGATAACCACCCTAGCTAATGGGGACATAGAGGATAACATGCTCAGCTGTTTACCAAGTGCTCATGTTGGAGCTAGGAGTATTGGTTCAAGAGCACCGAAGCAACTGTCAGTACAAGTGGTGAGGGAACTTGAAAACTCTCAGTTACTGGAGGGAAGAGGTCCTTGCTACCCAGTGTAGTTTTCTTTTAAGAAAACTGAACTCTCTGTTCTTAAGTTTGCGTCTGCTGAAGGCCTGGGTAGTTACGAATCAGCTCTAAAAGTTGAGTTAACCATGAGATTAAAAATCATGCAGAATTAAGTTATTTCTGAATTTGACAGCTGTGAGAATTGTTTTTTCCGTATCACCTCATGGTGTTGCAACCTTCTCTCTGGAGGAATTCAGAGTTTCTTGTTTGTTTGTTTTCTGGTTTTGTTTGGTTCTTCTTTTCCATGTTTTTTATAGCTTATAGATTCATGGAGACAAAGTCAAATTGCTCTTGGAAACATGGCCTCTTGCCAATTCCCCTTCAGTCTGACTGTGTAAAACCAGGGCTGCTTTGTCCTTTAATTTCACTGAGGTTCTGGTTTCTCCCTTTCATTTATTTGTGGACACACACACATCAGAGGAAGGGCACAGTCAGCTGAGGCCATGCCTCTGGGAATGTCTCTTATTATTCTTTGCTATATCTTTCAGGAAGTGAAACTTTTTATACCACTTCTTTCTGAAAATGAGTAACTCCACGGAATCCCCATCAGCTTTAGGCCAGAGAGTCAAACATAAAATATCCTGTGTGGGGAAACTAGATTGGTAAATATGAAATTTAATTTTATACTGTTTTTTTAGTAGATTTTTCCAGGCTTTGCTATGTTCAGGGATCCATCATTGGAGACCTAGTTCGCTCTGACATGCTCATATTATCCCAGGATAAAACCAAGCCACTTTAAAAAGCTACACAATCTAGTACAAAACTCATGTTCTCCCATGTAAGCTATCACTCAATGCACAATAAAAGCTATAAAAAAAAAAAAAGAAAAAAAGCCACAATCTACGTCCCACTGGGATTTTTTTAGGCACCCCACGCTCAACATATCTGGTTAAATTTATATCTATTTAAAGTAAAGTCTGGCTCCTAATGGGAACACCTCTCCAAGAAAAAACAAAACAAAACAAAACTTTTTTTTTTTTTTTTTTTTTTGACATTTGGTGATTCATGTAAAACAACATATTGAGTAAAGTCAGAACTGATGGATTTTATTTCTTTTAAAATCTTCACGGGTTTAAAATGTGACAGACAAAAATATGTGGGATCATACTATTTAAAACATAACAATGATTATCTATTTTCAGCATGTCTTATAATCATCATTTTGCCCTGGAATCTTATTTTAAGTACCTTGGTTTTAACACAGAACCTAAAAGTTACAGAAGTAATTTCCTAAAAGAAAATATCTGGTTTTTATATTTTCTCTAAGTTCTTTTTTTGAAACACAAGATAGAAATTGTTGACTCCTGTGGAATGTAGGAGATTATTAGTTCTTCATTGGGTTTCATTGCATCAAATATTGTAGGTTTTTTATTATGGTATGGCACTTCAGAATAAGCACTTGACTTCAAGGTTGGTTTGAACCACAAGGTCAGTGGTTCAAACTCACCAACAGCTCCTTGAAAACCCTATATGGGATTACTATGGGTTAGAACCGACTTGATGGCACTTAACAACAAAACAACATCCTGGTATGGCACTGAAGGATAAGCACAAAGTCAGCAGTTCAAACCCACCAGCTGCTCCTTGGACACCCTATACAGGGTCTCTGTGAGTAAGAACTGACTTGACAGCACTTAGCAACAACATGAAGCTTAATTAGGAAGGAAAGGTGATGTTTTCAAAGTTAAATGCTGTCAATTCCTTTGAGTCTGTCCCCACTCCTTCCCAATACCACACTCCTGATAACAGCACTTACTCTACACGCTGAATAATTATTAAGTGCTATTGAGTCAGTGGGCTACTGTATGGAGTTTCTGAGGAGCAGCTGTTGGGTTTTACCTTGCAGTTAGCAGTCCAGTGTTTATCCTACAGAGCCAGGATTTATTTGTATGAATCCCCCTGACTAGATGGAAGAGTTACAACCATTGCTCTTCCCATATCCTACTCCCACCCTCTACCAAAGCACCTTAAGAGTTTCTGTAGCAGGCATTCAGTAAAATGTGAATGAAGAGAATGAAAAGAAATGTACAATTCCTAGAAAATCTTAGTAATAACAGGCTTTAAGTTCTTGTGCAGCTCACCATCCACTTAATCAGATGTCCTATTTTGTTTTAACTCATTGTGTCCTGCTCTTGTTGGGAGATACCCCAGCTGTTTTCGATTATTTCAAGACACTAGGCAAAAATCAATAAGTACAATGGCTAAGCACTCAGCTGCTAACTGAAAGAAAGGTTGGCTGTTTGAACTCACCAGTTCCTCTGTGGGATAAGAACCTGATGACTTACTTCTGTAAAGATTATAGCTAAGAAAACCCTACAGGGATGTTTTACTCCATCACCCGGGGCTGCTATGAGTCAAAATTAATTAGATGCCACCTAGCCACAACAGGCCAAATTATTAAGAGAACTACTATGGAGTCCTGGTGTGGTGCTGTAGGATAAGCACTAGACTGCTAACCACAAGATTGGCCATTCAAACCTTCTAACCACTCCTTGGAGACCCTATATAGGGTTGCTATGAGTCAGAACCAATTCAAGGGCACTTAATAACAACAACATCAGAATAGAAGCTATCTCCACCTTCCACCAAAACACCTTGGTCTTTATATACCAAGCATTCAATATTCATGGAAAGAAATAATTTTAAAAAGTGGAAAATTACAACATGCAC